GGACCGCTGGTTGTCAACAAACAACTTCTCAATTTCAGAGCCAATTTCAACGTCACAACGAAGGATATTGGACTCCAGACAACACAAGTTCAACTTCACGACGAAGGGACCGCTGGTTGTCAACAAACATTTCCCAATTTCAGCTCCACAACGGAGTATCTTTGGCTAGAAGACGATCCATGAGCTACCTCCAGAACTCTGAGTTCGATTTCAGCTTCACGAGTTTGATTTCAATTTCACGACGAAGGATTCAGGCTCAGAATCTTCCAGTTTTTAACTCAACCTCATGACGAGGGAGTCATCTCGTGTTTTTTTAAAAAAAAACAGTCTCAACATCGAATTTCAACTCTACGACAGAGGATATTCGATATGGACGAAATTTATGTCTTTTAATCTTTGCTCTATCTTCGTTACACGACAATGAGCAAAGAGGGGCAGCTGAATACACTAATTTCGTCCTTATATTATACAATATATATATTTATATTATAAATTATATTTACATTTTTTTTTCTTTTTCTTCTCAGGGCCCAACAGTGGACCAAACCCAAAGTTTTCCAGAAACCCTAGCAGTTTCCCTCCTTAGCGCCGCATACCCAGGGACTCCCCATGCTCCACGCCTCGCCAGCTGCTCAACACACCCGGTTCTCTCGGTCACAAGCAACGGTCGTGGGTTCCAAGCAACTAACAAGCATTCAAACAATGAGTTTCAGTTTGTTTAGGACTCTATGACTAAAAATAGGATGTAAATAAACTATAAATGGATGTAATCAGAACCCATCAAGGGACACTTTTTTTTTTCACAAAAGGTTAGACCGAGAATACAAAAACAAAAATTACACAAAAACTACGAGCAATATTGGGTTGATATCGAAACATTTTTTTTCAAGATTCTCGAAAGCAACAGAAGGTAAAGTCCATACCGTGTACGTTTTGAGGCTTGCATGCTTGTTGTTTCGTTGTTCTTTATTCAAAAAATACCAAAGAAAACTGTTTTGGCCGATGAACTTTTAGGGGAAGGATCGAGATTTTGATCTCAGATCTACCCTCCCCCGAGGCCTATTTCAAAAAAAGGATTTGAGATTTGAGTCGAGGGAGAGAAAGGCTTTCAGAAAAACCAATTTTTTTTTGGGTTTGCCGCCGATGATCGGTGGCCGGCGCCGACCAACGGCGGCCGGCGAGGCGGCGTGTGGCCCTTTCTGGGATTTTACGGCGGCGTGTTCTTCATTTCTGAAGAACACGCATGAACAGATGAAGGAAACGAGAGAAAGAGAGAAAGCTCTCGGGCGAAGAGGAGAGAAATGAAATCTCAAAAAAATATTTGAGTCATATAGTTAGCCCAGCGGACCAAACCGGCCCGACCCGTGCTTATATCAGATCCGCGTGTTTTGCTAAAAGGGGCAAACTGCGTTTTGGCTCCCTCTGTTTTGAAAAACATTCAATTTGGTCCCCAAATCGGTTGGGTAAACTTCATTTTGGCTCCCTCTGTTTTGAAAAACATTTAATTTGGTCCCCAAATCGGTTTAATTTCCCTGGTTATATTCTAATTCTGCCATCTAACCTTATTTTGTTTCATTTTACCCCTTTATACTTATATATATTTTAGTATATCTCGTATTTGCTCTTTTATACATTGATATTTGGATTTTTTATTTATTTACACTATATTATATTATATTCCTATTAGTTTATATATATATATTACATATTCTTCTTTTATTACATGCTATTTATTATATATATATTACTCATATTTGCCTTTTTTATATATATTATTTTCTTTGTTTTTATATTTGTTGTTCATGTATATTTTCATTTACCTATCTATTTATATTTTTATATTTTTTTCTTTATTTGAATTTTCGTATTTTTCCTTGTAAATTTTATTCATATTTCATTCTTAATTCTTGTGTACATTATACTTTCTTTATTTCGTTTGTTCGCCTTATTTTTTTCTAATTTTATTTTTTATTATCTAACCATTTTTTCAATTTTTTAAGGATGTTTTCAAAACAATCAGAAGTAAGTAATTCAGGGTCAAATTTTACCTTTTTAATTTAACATTGCAATTTTATTAAATCATGACAACTGGAAATTACGTAGTACCGAAAGGGCGGTTCAAGGGTGCTAATCCTTCCTTGACCGTAACCGACTCCCGAACTCGACACATCTTTGGTAAGACGCAGATCAGGTAAGAAATAAGGTACCCGGTCAACCCATTTATTTTTAAATAAATGATCGGTGGCGACTCCCAATCCACTTTCCTAAGTCAAAGCCCAATTCCGGGGCACAACCGAAAGACGGTTACGACACTAATTTAGGAAGTCAAATCAAATCCATTTTAAGAATGGTTAAAGTTAAATTTTTAGTTTTTTTATATATATATGTAGGGGGGAAAACATTCTAAAATAGAGATAAATTTAAAAAATAAAAATTTCATACTTAAATACATGTAATCTTGCTTGAACAATGAAATGGGAAAAAATATAAGATATAATAGAAATTATTTTTGAACTAGATTTTTGCTACAGCAGTAGGTGGAAGTTGTAAAATTACATGATGATTCCTACTTAAAATCATGGTTTCGTCTATATGTTTAAGTTGTCGTATAATTCTCACAACCTCCAAAAGTTGCTGCATAATTCTGATAACTTTTATCGAGTGATATAACAAAGACACCAGTTCAGAAAATACTTCCTATTATACCTTATATAAGTGTTTTTTCACCCTATTATTCAAGTAATTTTACCCTCAAATACTAGTTTAATTGATACGTCTTGAACCATATTTGATAATGTTTTGATATAACAAATTTAAACAATATTTTTGGACTATTGAATTTGTTTAAAGATTTCAAAAATAATTCAAAATCCATTAAACTAGAATTTGAACACAAAACAATTTTTTGGGTACGTAGTACCGATATTGTTCTTATAGTATCGATATTGTTCACGTGATACCAATACCAAAGTTAAGAGTGGTATCGATACTCTTTTGGTAGTATCGATACTACTAGTTGTTTTTCAAATTGTTCAAATTCCAGAATGTAAAATTGGTACTGATACTCAAGGGATACCGATACTACTTTACACAGTGGTATCGATACTATGAACCCTGGTATCGATATTGGTCGAGCTCAATAATCTTTAATGGCTAGTTTTTTTAAATATTACAAAGGTAGTACCGATACTCATTAAAAGAGTATCGATACTCCCTGTTTTGGGCAGTTTTATTTTTGCAGAAATTTCATCTCCAACGACTAGAAACGGCTACAAGCTCATTCTAACATATAAAAACAAGTTGATGATACTTAAATGTTACAACATCTATCCAAGCAATAAAGATCAAGAAAACAACTCTTTCACTCTTTATTTACCTTTTGCTCTCGTACATAAGTGTTTGAGCTCATTGTAAATCTTTTATTTGTTTTCTTGTGAGCTTAATTATTGTAAACATATACGTTGTGAGGTTTTTCTTGTTTACATCTTTCAATCTTTGTAAAAGGGGAGTGGCTCTAGTTTAGCCATTGACAAACTAAGGGGTTTATAAAGGTTATTCTTGAGCCTAGAAAAAGAAAGAACAAATTAGTGAATTTGTTAGAAAATCATTAGTGTGGAGATAAGGTAGTGAATGTAGACTTCGTTTAGAAATTAAATCATTATAAATCATTGTGCAAATTGTCTATATTTTTTTACTCCGTACTCAAAATTTTCAAAAGTCCAATTCACCATCTCTTGATATTTTTTTAATTGACCAATTTGAGCTTCATAAATCTTAACAATACGAGATTATCAATCTTTGAAAATTATAAATTTGAATAAATCATATTAACATTCGTTCCTAATTTTAACCGATTGGTTTGTTAAGATTTGATGAATTGATATATTAATTTATATTTTAGATCATTAAATGTAACTTTAATTTTTATTTAGATCATATCTATTAAATTAAATTATCCAAATATATATTACTAAAGTAAGTCTTTTATACTAATATCACTAAGTAATTCTAAATTTCTAATGAAAGAAACCATAAATTGAGGTGCACGCAACGGTACAGTATGAAAAAAGGTCGGTACACTCTCAAGCAAGTGAGGATTTGATATTGTACCAACGTTACTCACAATTGAGCAAACAAAATGTAAATTTACCAAAAAAAAAGTTGACGCCAAGTTGAGATTTAATGATATAATTACTTGATTGTTATAATCGATTAATTAAGTAATTTGACTATGATTTTTTTAAATACAATGACCTAATTGTAAACATACTATTAATATAGTGATCTGGAGTGTGTAATTTAACCTTTATATTCCTATTTTATTTGGCTAAAATGTTAAAATAATTAAAAAAGGGTAAACTATTATGTGGTTCATTTTGTATTTGGTCTATCTTATTTTGGTCATCAGATTTGAAAAGTTATATTCTGGTCATTTTGTATTCAATTTGTCTTATTTTGGTCACTGAGATGTTAACTTATGTTAGTTTAACGACGTAACATACTACTAAAAAACGGTTAGATCAAAACAGGAAAATCAGAATGTATTCTGAACAAGAAAATAAAAAAGTTATCAACTTAAACAAAAACAATTTGCCAATTTGGGACGAAAATAGGAAAAAGCATAAGCTAATTCAAAAATAAAATAAACAGTGTGACAAAAATAAGAAAAAGCAAAATCGAACCCTAATAACATAAACAACCCAAAAAATACATTAAAAATAAAAACATATCATACTCTACCGCATTATTCTTTTAATCATTTTGGAAACCTATGGGCGAATAAACCCTTATCACATAAACAAACCTTAAGGGGCGTTTGAATCATAGAAATCTTGTTTACTGGTAGTATTTACGTTTAGATGGGAAAGATTCCATTTGAGGGTATTATCTCATTGTCAACAGTAAATTTATTTACTTTTTTTACTGAGAATGTCATTCCCATATATTAAATAGGTTTTAATTTATTCCCTGGTATTTGGGCTAAAATACCCTTTCTTCTCTTCTTCTCCCGTGACTTCGCTTCTGTCCAATTTCCTTTGCTGAGAATTTTTTCTGGTAAGATTTCTACTCCACTCATTTTCTTTTAATTTCCCAGTACTGTTTTTTGGTTTCATATTTTGTGCTTTTGTTTCTGTTAACAAAAACCTCTTGAATGCACATCGATGTTGTTTTTGATTCTTTTCTTGGTAGTCTAGTTTCAATAACTTCTCTTGAATTCGACCTCCATGCTTTTGATTTGAGCTTACAGTGAGTATTAGTTATGTTGTGAGGATCCAGAAATCACATGAAACTCTTATTTTCTCTGACTTTGCTTCATAATGTTACATTGCTTTATTCATTTTCCTGTCCATAAAGTACACAATTTCGTGCTTTCTCAGCTGAGTTTGTTTTTTTTCGTATGTTGTTTAAGCGTTTCGAACGTTTCAGTGTTAAGCTTAGAATGCGGATTCTTTTTCCTTTTCTGCGCAAATAATCCAAGTAATCAATTGTTGAAGTTACGGGACTGGAAATCTTTTATCTGTCTCCGTTATTAGCAATGGGAAGAGGAAAATTCAAGGCGAAGCCCACCGGTCAACGCCACTTCTCCACCCCTGAACAGATGCGTATGAGTTCTTCCTTTTATTCCATACTTTTCAATTTTAATGCTTCTTTTTATTTCTATACCCGGAAATATTCGATTAAAAGTAAAACATTCAGATCTTTTTATTTGGTTTTAGTGGGACTTGTTGAAGTATGTACACCGTCAGTTTACGATCGACAAAGTTGAAATTGCAAATTTTCTATTTAAATTTTTGGAAATTTTTATCACTTTGATATTTTCTAGTGGTTTATTGAAAATATGTGTCAAAAAACGTTGCTTGAGAGGTTAAGAGCAATTGTTTTGTTTAATTTACTATTATTTGGTTAGAGTAAATTTAGGTTAATTATTGTTAGTAAAGATTGTGGATGATTATCAGACATTGTCTGATTTAGGATTAGGGTTAACTGTTTCTTCTGAAACCAATCGTGCAAACACACTGCCTGAGGAAAACCTTGTTTTCTTTTGTTTTTTGTGTGTTTGCAGTTGCTGGTACATCAACTCGTCCTCGCACTTTTAAGAGGGTATGCACTCTCTCTTTTAGATTCACTGACCCACACTTTTAGTAGTTATTTATGCTATTAAACTATAAGAACTCACTCTTTACTCATTAATGTTGTTAGCAAGAAGCTGAATACAAGGCGGAGGAAGAATCAGATGATGAATCTGAACAGGAGTCTGGAGAAGAATCTGATGACGAAACTGAAGTAAGTTTTATCATAACTGGGCTTCTGTTTGTCAATTGTTTCTGCATATGAATGATTAGGAAATCTGAAAATTTCCTGTTGCAAACCAACAGCAAAAGCGCAAGGGGACTCAAGGTGTGATTGAAATCAACAATCCTAATTTGGTGAAGCCAAAGAACTTGAAAGCTAAGGATGTCGATGTCAGTTTCACGATGTCTCCTTATATATTGTTTCAATGATTGTATGTTACAACTAATGCTTTATATATGTTTTGATTTTATCCAATCTCATTTGTAGGCTGGGAAAACTACTGAACTTTCAAGGCGTGAAAGGTTTGTAAATTTATCCAATTTTTTCTTCCAAATTCTGCTTTTGATGCATTTTAAGTCATGGTTTGTTGTCTGGATCTATTCTTCTGTCTTAAGATATAACTTCTGTATATTCTTTCTTTATGGTTTTTATGTGAATGCTCCATCATATGTATATTCCCTAATTGTTTACAGGGAGGAACTAGAAAAGCAGAGAGCCCATGAACGATACATGAGGCTGCAGGAGCAGGGCAAAACAGAACAAGCAAGGAAAGATTTGGGTAAACTAACAGGATATTCCTTTACCTCTTATCAAACCTCCCTCGTATCACGCCTTACTGATCACATTAATTTAATAGAGTGGGCTAAACACTGACAATGCTAACATCTGATTCCTTACTCATTATGCCAATCGTCAATTTATCTTCCAACATGATCGTCTACTTCCCCTATCAACTCCAGTTTTAAGGCTGATTTAATTTTTTTCTAGTTGGCTAGATTTTGGGGGAGTTGAATTCTATAGATTAGAAACCTAGAATGCTTGAAGACTGAAGAGGCTGTAATTGTTACACATTAAACTGAGAAGACATGTGCCACTGTGGGATGATGAACAAGCTGAGTGCTTTTAAAATCTTAATTTTGCAAAATTGCTTCCTATAACCAAATTTACTTGCAAAATGACCGATATGCCTTATCACTTCTATTAGTGGGAAAACTGAAAAGTTGAATCTAATTGATTCCTGCTTTGCACTGCTATTTTTCCTTGATAAGAACAAAAGAAAGCATTTCTAACTTGGAATGTTGTGGTAATACAGAACGCCTAGCTCTTATTCGTCAACAGAGAGAAGAAGCTGCTAGAAAACGAGAGAAGGAGAAAGCCTGTAAGAATCTGGAGCCATGACTATTAAATGTCGAACTTTTTTTTCTTTTTTGGCACTGATGAACATCCATATTTGAATTTGTTTCAGCGAGGGAGCAGAAGAAGGTTGATGGTCGAAAATGACATTTCTTTTTACATACAGCAAGTGTTTCTTCCAATAGATGATTATATGTGTACTTTCTACAATTTAGCTGGCAATTGATTTATATTCAAAGATTCTTCTTTTTTATATTATTTTTCTTTAAAGGGTGATGGTTATACATCTCATTATACATTTGTTTCTTCCTATTTGGTGCACATTATTTGATAATTTTGTTTGTGTTTTTGAGTTAAAACTCATTTTACGCTCTGCTAATTTTAGCCTCTATTATGAGATTTTTATCAAAGAGTTAAAGGTGGTTTGAGGCCTTCCAGTGTTAGATTATATCCGAAATGGAGTTTGGTCGAGTTAAATCGTTAAAATATCTGAAACAGGCTGAATTTTGTATAAAATTAGTAACCTTAGTTCTAGAGTTCAAGCTACCATTCACATTTGCTTAAGCATGTTCCGAAGCATAATGTCAACCGGTAAATACTTTTGTTGGTGTTCGCTTTCACCATTCAACATCCTCCTCCTTTTATGGCCGTTACATCGTCTTTCCTTTAGGCAAAGCCAATAGGACATCTCCTACATTGAGAGTTTTCTTGTTCACAACATGATAAATCTGGACCAGCACTTGTGTAAACGCATCCTCAACATTCAGACTCTAGTGCAGATGCCCACAACACGATAAATCTGGACCAGCACTTGTGCCGACTCGGTAGCCGCCATGTAATTAGGCACCGTAATGGCATTATTTCCCGTGCCGCTACTTGTACCGAAGCTGCAAGTGTAATAGTAATTGGACCTTAAGCTTGGTGTTTGAGATGAAAATGAGCTCCGATCATCTCGAACACGACGAGGACTAGCGGACCGAACTTGAATAGGCCTGGTTTTGGACGGAGAGAGTGTAATAGGAGAATGGTGGAAAGGTGCATTTTGTTGAGCTCTATGCAAAGGTGAACTAGGCCTTTGGTGATAATGGTTTTAATTTGTTCTTCGATAATGGAGAAGGAATCTTCTATGAATTTTAAACAATTTGCTTGCGTTGCTATTGATTGATCAAAACTCTATCCTACCTAAGGATCTGCGATGGTCCCAGCAACACTAGTTGCTGCCTTTGTTGGTTCCATTATTTGTAAGAGTGCTTCGGTATTTCATTCCCCGGTGAATCTCATCAATCATAATCACCCCACTTTCATGTATATTTTTTAACGTTAAATTATATATTTAGTCATTTAACTAAAGCTAAAATCAAACAAAACAAAATTAATTCCCTTCTTTTAGGAAGTTAAATAAATTTATTTTAACAAACCAAGAATCAAGTGAACAAAAACTCATATCTTCATGTGGGATTAGGATTATGAACTTTCATTACACTGTATTTGTCATCTTGTTCAACCGAATAAATTCATGTGAACACTTTTATGGATTACACAATCATCCAAGAAGATTTTAATGAATTAGCTAGCTATATTTTGTAATGTGGTTCTCGTTATAATAAAATAAAAACTGATAATCATAATTTCTCAAAATAAAGATACATAGTTTGAATTTTAATTTACATTTGTATTCTTACTCAAGTATTATCTCATTTGTTACATAACAAAAACTCATTTTAATATATTTTTACATAAATTATGTAAAATTTAATATTAATTAAAATTAAAATAATACATTATATATTTAAATACTCAAGTAATATATTATCAAGAAATATAATTTTTATATAAATAATTTTTATTTAAATATTTAGAATTTCACTTGTTAAAAAACAAATATAGAACAAGGACAATTTGGTAAAATATACATTCCAGTAATCTTTTATTCCTTCAACCAAACACTGTAATCTTACATTCCTGTCAAATTAACCAAACACAGTAATGTAACATTCCTAGTAATCCTATTCCCTGATAATCTTTTATTCCCACTGGTAATCTTACATTCCGTGAACCAAACGCACCCTAAACTTAAACAATTCAACTAGTTACGTTTTACAACCCATCACTCAAGCCTTTTCGTTATTTCAAAGAGTGCATGAATCCTAGAGAGAGTTTCCCAAGACCTTTCGATTAACCCCAAACAATAATAAAGCCTGTGATTTACCCCTGATTACTTGAGTCTTGTTCCCTCGTTAATCATTTAAGTCGATCTAAACTCATTTAACGTACTTAATTCCTCATATTAATGAGATGTTTAGAGAGTCAAATGATCGATCAACATTTTCTAATCCAGGTGTAATCTACGTGAAAATGAAGTATTATTATTTAAGTATTATTATGGGATAACAATATTTAACGGTCTACTTATCAAAATGTAATAAAATAATGATATAAATGACTGAAACATAACTTTTCAAATCTAGTGATCAAAACTAAATAAAACCGAAACAAAGACGATTAAACTTGTAGTTTGTCCTATAAGTTTTGTCTTCTATGAAAGTATTTGGAAAATTCAGTTTAACGAGCGTGGCCTAAAATTTTCGAAACAAGTCCTGTAAATAATATATAAGACATGTTAATACCATTGGTTGATTCTTAAATAAATCCAAAACAACAAAATCAAGCATATATGGAAACATATCTTTTGTGTGTAATATACAACATGTATCATATAGCATTGTTTTATTCATCATATATGCGTAATATCCCAATCACGTCATTAAATCCACCAATTTTCTCTTTGGAGTGGTGACCCCGATACTAAACTAATTAAATACGATATAAATATAATATTTAAAATTAATTAAAGATAATCATCAATATCACATTACAATTATATAACTCGATTTGATTTTTTTCCCACAGTTAATATAATATTTTGTTTTTTTAAATCTACAGAATAGTAATTAAAATAAAAATAAAAAGCTTTATAGAGCGCAGGCGTTCAACGGCGAGGCACTCTCTATTAAATTGTGCCTTTTTTTCACTTGTATTATATTTATATATTTGCCTATAAAATCTCCTTCAAACGGCGAAAATGAGAGCTTCTAGCTAAAATACATAAACCAAAAAAACAGGGGAAAAACATCTGTCGTTGACTTATTTCGAGCTTTCCATTCTCTTCACCGATGGAAGAAGGAGCAGGTAGGTCCGTCAAGTGTGGGTCATGGATCCGTCGACCCGAAAATGGCAATTTGGTCGTGCTGGGACTGACGATGACCCGACCCAGTTCCTCTTCTTCGGTTGCTGCTATCGAGATTTTCTTTTTTATTTTTCTCCCTTAGCTTGGGTGTTCGAGAAACATTATGCTAATGTTTATTTATTGTTTTTGTTTCAACTTTTGGTTTTGGGAAAGTTGATTTCTGCTTCTAGGAGTTTATATTTTATGTTTAGGTTAGACATGAATTTGAAGAGAGTGATGGTGACCCAATAACCATCGCAGTGCACCCGAGTGGAGATGATTTCATTTGCTCTACCTCTAATGGCGGTTGCAAGTGAGCTCTTTCTTTTTTATTTTATTTTCTTAAAATTATAAAAATTAAATTCAACCCCTTGAAGAAAAGCACATCACATTTAACTAAATAAATCCGAATAGAACGATAAGAATAAGAAAAAGTACAGCAGTGTAACATGCCCTGCTTCCTTCCTACTCCACTCGTCTGAGGCTTGAGATAAGATTAAGCCAAATCTGGTTTGTTCATTGTCCAAGAAATCATGTACCGGTGTTGAGAGCCACCCGGAATTGCTCTGGAACACGGAGCAAGGGTGCTTGAATTGAACCAGGGTTCCCTAGCTTCCCACACGCAGCCATCTGATCATCACCTCTACTAAATCGCATAAAAACAGTGCAACCACCTTTGGCTAAAACATTTCTAAACTCGATCATCTTCTCGTCGCTGCTAAGTCTAAATTGAGACCCAGAATGAGGATTAAAAGAAATAAGATTGATTTTGCAGGGAATACCCTTCACAAGATTGATTAACCTGTTAGCATCCTCAATGCTGTTATTAATTCCCGCAAGCATTACATATTCAAATAGAACTTTGTAGTTATTTTTGAACATTAGTTCCTCCCTAAGGGTCTCAAGAAGAAGGTTCAGTTTATACTTCCGATTGATTGGCATGATCCAATTCCTGACCTCATTAATTTTACTTTCCCCGAGTTTTTTTTATCTGTTGATTGCCATCGCTTGGAGATGCATGAATATTCAATTTTCTTTTGAAATGCTTCGTGGTGTTCATTGGGATGTCATTTTATTGAAGTAATCAGAAGCTTAATCTGCTCAAAAAGAAACCATTTCCAAACTATATGATTACTACCCAAACCAAGCTTGAACTAATAAAACTCAATCTATGTTCATTCGTCTATTTTTGAGCTTGTTCATACTCGCTAAGAAGTTCAAAATTTTGTTCAAACTTGGTTCATTAAACATTATGTGTGTGTGTTCATTCAGTTAAATAAAATGTGCTCGTTTGCAAAAATTAAATGAACATGTTCATGACTAATATATTCATGAACGATAGGCTAACAAATCTGAAAAATTTCAAACAAGCAACAAATAAATGACTTTTAGATCTGATAATTATATTATAAAGCAATAAAGGAAAAAAAAAGAGTAAGTTCTAAATTATATCATAATAGAAGAATAAATGTGTTTTAAATGAGCGCTGAATTATTTATCAAGCTAGTTTCAAATGATTCAAATACAAGTTTTTTCTTAGTATAAACAGAGTGAAGTCGCTTGAGTTCTGTTTCTTTAATAAACGAGTAGCAAAATATTGGTCATATTCGTTTATTTAGCTTGATAAACGAATATAAGTGAACAAAAATTGAACTTTTTTTAACTGTTCACCAAATGCTCTGTTTTGTTATGGTCCTATTTCTTTTAATAGTTTGTTAAGGTCGTGGAGAAATGCGAGGGCTCAAGGTATTTTGATCTTGAGGGTAGTAATCATATAATTTGGAAATGGTTTCTTTTTGCTTCCTTTTGGCTTTGGAACTATTGGATGGAGAAGTGGGGTATTGTCTCTTCTTATGGGGGCTTTGTGCAACACAAAAATATACTAGAAATCTCCTCTTTGCTCGGTTATCTGCATGTTGGGCTCTCTGCATTATTTCGTATCTGGTTGGTGGACTCATTTTGGCCTGCTTGGATTTGAGGAATGAATTCGTAATCAACAGTGTTCGGTTCTCTGTTCTGGATTTTTCATTCGTATTCTTGAACCTTGCCCTTTTTTGAGTTGTTCGCTTACTTTTTTGCTATGCTCATTGTTGATTTCAATTATATGATATCCAGAAGCATAATAAGTTCTTGGTGCTGCTTTGAATCAGATTGCTTTGAGATGTCTTATAAGCTCTTCTAAATACTTTATATGTTCATTTTGTAATGCATCAACTTTAAGTTGGTAAGTCTAGTTTTAAAGCAAATGTGGAAGACCTCAAGTTATATTGGTTGTTTAACATTCCCTCTTGCCACCCCCTCCAAAAGAAACGAAGTTGGTATCTGGAATTGGACTACTGAATCCTTTATGGCCTGAGATAGAAAGAGAAATTTCTACATTTTTAGATTGATGTTTATCACGACAAACAATTACTTCATCTTGGCCTCAGCTGACAATTCTTGGGCACAGTGTTTTGATAGAATGAAATATTTTCTTGTATGGGCAGGTTGTTTGAGGTTTATGGTCTGGAAACAAAATTGAAGCTGCTTGTCAAACAGTTACCTCCTCTCCAAGATGTTGGTCCGCAGAAATGCGTAGCATTCAGTGTTGATGGTTCTAAATTTGCCGCTGTTGGAGTGGTAAGCAGTCATCTTGAATTTGATCAATGCTTGTTTTCCTTTCTCATGTTGGTAACTTCTATTGTGATCAACAATAGGATGGGCATCTTAGAATCTTGGAATGGCCAAGCCTGCACACTATTGTAGATGAAGTAAGAGCACATGAATCCTTTCGGGATATGGATTTTAGGTAAAAGTGAGCCTATTTGCATGCAATCGTAATGTAATTACTGTCTAGAAATCTTATTGACAATAAGATGTGCCGTTATGAGACTTCTTGCTCAACAAAAATATTCTAATGACTTTTAAAGGGGTTGAAAAATCTTCTTGCATGTCATTTTTTTTTGTTAAAAAAGTGAATCATGTATATATTTTCTATAGTTAAATTTGTTTCGATGGTTTTTCATTTCCAACATGACTTTTGAATTTTGCTTGGTTTGCTTTTCATACTCTAGCCTCGATTCAGAATTCTTAGCGTCAACATCTACAGAGGGTTCAGCAAGAATCTGGAAGGCAGATGATGGTATTCCTTTAATGACTTTAGGTTGCAACTCAGTATCATTCCTTTAACCAATGATTTTCTTTATATATGCTAAATTTTGTCTTTCTGACAAACTTTTAGTCTGTTTTTGTTTGTAGGATGAAAAGATTGAATTATGTCGGTTCTCCCTGGATGGGACAAAACCATTTTTGTTTTGTGCTGTTCAAAAGTTTAACCATGCTTTAGTTTGAAGCAAACGATTTATTTTCAGTTATTAAATGACTTTTACAAAAACTGCATGCTGAAATTTGACAGGTAATAAAGCAGTTACTGCAGTTTATGACATAACCAGATGGAATAAAATCGGGCATAAGAGGCTACTCAATATTTACTTCTTGATAGCCTTGTTTGCCCCTCAATATTTACTTCAGTTATCATCTTCAAGTGCAATGACAATGGTCTATTATAACCCAATGCTTTACTCTCCCCTCCAGATTTGCTTGCTTGTATTTTCAATTTTCCATCTGTTTCTCTCTTTTGTCATCTCCCCACATGCTTTAATTGTTTAAGAGAGAAAAGTGTAGAAGTTCCTAAAACTAAAGGTGTTCATTTTTTATGCGGTTCTGGTATCTGTATCTTTCGCTTCAAGTCTACAACTATCAATTTTTAGAGTTTGCAATGTTTGTTTTTCTTGAAATAGGTTTCATTTTCCAAAAAAGATAAAAAAGTTATCGAAGAAAAAAATACAAGAAAGTAAAGGAGATGTAATGTACTTCTGGGCATGCCTTGAAGTTGATCGCAGTGGTGAAGGAACCATCGATGCGCTTACATTTTGGTCAATGTGTGATATATTAAATGCTGGGCACTGCAGGTTTGTTTCACTATATATACTAGGTTTGGGTGTAATTTCTACAGCTTATGTGAGGGTCTTTTGCTTGCCATGTTGTAGATATACGGATTATCTCTTCCTACAATGAGTTGCTTTCTCCTTTGTTCCTTCTTCCTCTATGTGTTGGAGGGTCATATTCTTATACCCATGTCTGAGTATGCATCTCCCATAGGTGTCAGACACAGATACTTCCAGAAAAATAAGTCAAATAAATATCTCTTGGGATCAGTTTTGTCAAAATTTTCTTGTTGAAGCCATCATGGTACAGCTCTGAATACTGTTACCAAGCACAAGATCAAGGAAAACATTATACTATTGTTATGTTTACATGGTAAAAACTGCTTTTTCCTGTTCAATGACATCTTTTAGCAAGCCAAAAATAGCATAGGTGGGCCTGCAAAGAGGTGAGGGCCTAAGTGTTGTGTTTACATGGTAAAAACATTTTTTCAGGTTTTAAGCCTGGTTTGATCGAAGTTCAACTTCATGAATCTAAACATGGGCCAACATCAGGTTCAATAGGTTAGAAATGATTATTTTTTATTGGTAGGCTAACTCAGAATTTGTTGCTCATGAACCTTGGCTGGGGGTTGGATTTAGTTGTAGAAGGTGATCATCTTCCTATTAAAATTTGAACAAACTTCTTGCCAAAAGCTTGGCCTTGGGGAGTCTAAGTTGGTTAGTTGCTGTGCAGCTTTGTTATTTAACTTGCAATAGATAGGCGTGGATGTTAGGTTACTTTTAATTACTGTATGTGAAGTATATGGATTGGTTTAGAAGATTTTTTAATTGCCTGCAGAACTGCTTTTGAAAATGCCTTCCGGAAGATGTATGTCTTGCCATCTGATATGGAAGCTCTTCCTCCCATGCCCAATGTTGAAGGTCACTGGTCTGCCTTGCACAGCTGGGTGATGCCTACCACTTCCTTTTTGGAGTTCATAATGTTTTCTCGGTAATTCTATGAGTACTGTCTTTTTTCATATCATCTTTTCTCCTTCTTTCAGTATCTTTTTGGATTATTGCACAGTGAGATGATGAGTGTAAACTTGTATAATCGAATTACAGGATGTTTGTCAATTCTCTACATGGCTTGCATACCAATTCTAGCGATGTCAATATTTGTTTGTTGGGTTCATCGGATCTTGAGGTAAGCTTTGTGGTTTCATATGTCTTCCGTTGGTTCCATTGAGAGTCTGATCATAGCATTCCTCTATATGTTCAGAAAAAACACTGTTACTGTCGGGTTTTGGAACTCTTGGTCAATGTCTGGGCTTACCATAGTGGGCGTAGGATGGTCTACATTAAGCCGCACTCTGGTTTGCTTGAAGAGCAACATCCGGTCGAACAACGAAAAGCATTTATGTGGGCTAGATATTTTAACTTTGCATTATTAAAGGGCAAGGATGAAGATCTAGCTGGGGCTTCAGACGATGATGACCAGCCAAGGAAGACATGGCTATGGTCAATGACGGGCGAAGTGCATTGGCAAGGGATTTATGAGAGGCAGAGGGAAGAAAGATATAGGCTGAAGATGGAAAAGAAGATGGAAAACAGGGAGAAAAAATTGGGAAGGCGTAGGAATGGATACAAGAAGAATCCACTTGGATTATAGGATTACCTAGAACCTAATAAATGGCCATATTCTAACTTGGAAACACCAATCTCTGAAATCCTCTCTTTTCTCTAACTGGAAAGCAGGAAAAACTACTGTGGACATGAGAAGCCTAGTTACATCTAACATCACACGGTTGGTCACACTTTTATTTGAGTAAATGCTTTTCAAGGAGTGGAGGGGAAACAACAATAGCTTCCCAGACTATTTGCCTATTTACAAGATCCTCGCACCATATCAGGTTTTTGTTTAGAACTTTCATAACATGTAATTCAATATATATATATATTTACACTATTCTTTAGTGCTAGAAGTCTAGTAGATATATTCTTTCGTCATTGTACATATATCTTATATTATTTTCTTTAATGGAGGGGCAATTTTGATGAGAAATGTAGGTTAGTCTTGGGTACAGGCTTGCCATTCTCAATTCTAATCGACAGTTTGATGAATCTTTGTTTCTTTCCTCCTGTGTGAATTGGTTTTCCATCCTGAAGTATTTGTCATAAATATGGTCTTTTGATTTAGAAAAGAAAAGAAAGGTGGAACATGGTCGGATGGGTCGTTCGGCCCGGCTCATGCAAATTAGGCCAAGAGTTTCGTCAATGAAGGTTTATTCGACTCGAATTATAACTTAATAATATATTTTTTTATTTATATTGAATTATAAAATAAAAAATACTTGTTCAATTGTGAGCTAGGTCATTCTGTTGGCTTGAGTTAGGCTTAGGTAAAAGAAGTAAAAAAAAAATGGATTGTGTGGCCTGCTATTTAGTCTAGCTGAAGGTATTTCTGTATCCATATTAACCTTCCGTCAATGCACCTAATATTATATATTTTTTCAATTATTCAGTCATTAATTATCAAACTAGAATTAAATAGATTTATGATACTTAACATAAAGGGTTTGATCTCTCTATTCGCGCGCATGATTAACTGTTTACTTTTTAAAGAGTTTTCAGAAGAAGAATATTTAATCTCGATTGTCGGGTTTTAATAAAAAAATCTATATGGATTCTTATGAATAATCTTATTTATTTAATTATATTTAATATCAAATGTTTGAAAATTATATTTATTCAATAATATTTAAATAAATACTGTCTTGTACCTACCCAAATTAATAAAAAAAAATTATGTTTTAAAAAAAATAAATACAAATGATAATTTATGAAATTAAAATTGTTACTGTATTAAATAACAGAACTTATGTAAATTTCACTCACAAATAAATGATTAGGAAACAAATATGGTTAGCTCTTTTTTAAGAGAAGAAAAAGAGATGTTATATATATATCCCATCTTCTCGGGACTAGTCTTGTACCGAGAAATGCTGCGTGCTGCAGCAGATAAAATTTTACAAGTTTAAGGTCAAAACAAAAACATCAAAAGAGGATTTGCCATTGAAAGCTCACAAAAGGCCATTAAATTATCTTCTTAAAAAAAAAAAGAGAAGAAAAACCGGTTCTTGTGAAGATGCGGAAATTATTACAGTTAAACTAATTTAAAGGCCGACAAGATAGCGTAAACACCTCTACCAGGTTTTTTGTTTTCTATACAAACAGAGTTTGAATCAGCAGAGAGAGTACTCGCAATCGAGTAAGCGAGAGAGTATCTCCTCACAACTTGGCCGCTCCTCTGGTTCTGCCCAGCAATCTGCAATCACCAAAACATTATAACGTACTAAATTTTGCGTCAAATGAGGGAGTAGTTTCACGGCGAGGAAGGCTTATGCAAGTTATAACTAAATATGATATAAAATGTTACAGCAATTGTATCATTTTGGGTACATACTTGAAAGGTAATTTTTCTGTATATACATAAATTTATGTACATACCCAATATGTTACAATTATTGTAACAAATCAAGTTATCTTTAGGTAAATATTTGTAGTAGCCTTCTGTCTGGTACGTGGTCCATGTATTTGTTGCCATGAAAGGAATCAAGATGAATGAATTAAAAGATTGTACGGTAGACCTGAAATTAGCCTGCTTAGGGGGCCTTCTGGAATCTCCAACCGTGAGCCTTCATTGGCGACAGCATAAACCACCTGAACCAATGTAAGAAACATACCATGTATCTTTAATAATCGAAAGATTAAAAAAAAACTAAATCAAATTGGTTTGAAAGAGACCGAGTAACAGCATATTCCATATACCTTTTTCGGCGGTACACCTTCCCAGGGTCTATTTAGAGTAGAGAGCTCCCACATTATCACCCCGAGGCTAAAAATGTCGCACTTCTCGCTGAAGGGTTCATTGCGTATGAGCTCAGGAGCCATCCATTCTGGTGTTCCTGCAGATGCAGAATCTTTCATGGGTCGGCTGTTCATTATTCTTGAGAGCCCGAAATCACAGATCTTCACAGTCCAGTGCTTGTTCACAAGGCAATTAGCACTTTTCAGATCACGGTGTACTATTTTCATCCGATGTATACACATCAACCCCCTATATAAACACGAGATAAATATAGTCAGTGTGGCACTTCATGCAGTGCCTCTATCCAGGGCAGGATCAATTATAGTTTTTACATAAAAACCAAGGAATCACTTGTAGATACAAACAGAAATATCACATTTTAACAGAAAGTACAGTGAACTTAAGAACTAGGAAAATTATTTAACATATAAATGTAAATTCATATGCTCCTATCAAGAACATAAATAGTGAAAAAAGAAAGAAAGAAAGAAATCAAGTACACATACTAAAGCTATCAGACACCCGTAATTCTAGTTCTTCGTTTTCCATAAACTTAAATATACAGGTTCAAAGATGGAATTTAAAAAAATCCCTATGCAAAGCGTGATTAGTCAAATGTTATTAAGGTGTCTCACTGGTTGATTGTTCCTAAAGAATATATATATATGACAACTGGAACAAAGAAACCAAGTATGACCCCGCTGAATACATACTCGTGTGACTCTAGGTATAGACTTAATTTGAGAAAATGATAACACAACGAATTGCACTATATTAAATTTAAATATGAAGGCAGAGGAAGATGTTTTGCACTTTTCAGAGTTATTAAAAGGCCTATCATACCTGCATATATCACGCAACATTTTAAGTCTCTTACGCCAGTTCAATCTATTTTTCTGACCACTCAAATGGATTAAAAAGTGTAATGATCCCATCTCCATATATTCAGTAATCATTGAAAGCTGTGGTGGCTTTGTGCATGCACCCAAAAACAAAATAACTGCAAAAAACAGAGCTCCTCAGTTCACTGAATGATGTAACAAAACAAACTTGCCAATGTTTTGTATGGTGCAATAGAAAAAAATGAACATATATTTGATAACTTATTGTAGACACACTGCCAATGCTCAATTTATTTATTTTACTCCATCTCTCAGTTCTGTATTTTATTATGAAACCATCCTAAACAAACAAAAGAGTACAATTTAGAAAAGGTAGGAGTACCATTGGGATGTCGAAGTCGGCTGCAAGTACAAACACATGGAAACACAATAGATTGAAAAGAGGATTATGTCAGAGAGAAAGATATATAAACATGAAAATATTAATTCTTTGAACATATCATGGAAAAGATACCCAAGAATTGATATCTCATTGCAGAAGTCTTCCATATTTTCTTCAGTAAGATCTTGTTCCAGAAACACCTTGATTGCAACATCTGTTCCATTCCATACACCACGAAAAACTTCTCCAAAAGACCCTGGAGAAAACACACAAGAATTTGGAAAAACACGATTTGTTCAGTGGAAATTTCTGGAGTGGCCAACTTCCAATGCAAAATTAAGCACAAAAAGATAATGCTTTGCCTAGTGAATCAGTAAAAGCAGTTTACAATTAGATTTCGCCATTTCCAACAATAATAATACACATGAAACAAACAAAGGATGCAATGAGTATCAATCAGATTTCCCAAAGATAGTTTGCCAGGGGCATCTAAGCATAATTAAATCTGCCTTGCTCTAGGATATTCTTTTACCCTTTTGCACAAGATGTGTCTAGGTTCTTTGCTCAAGGAGAAAGACAAACATCACCTTGAAAACAAACTCATCTGTTCTGTGACTTATATCTTTTAGGGTTTTATTATTATTATTATCAGCCTCACCATCGTCTTTTAGTTATTGAGGAGGAATTTTGTTACCATGGCCCAGGGCATGCTGTTTTCACACCCTTCTCAAATTATAATCTCCACAACTGATACCTCCAAAAAGAAGCTAAACAAAATAAACAGAATAAATTTTGAAGCATAGAAAAATTTATGTATAATCTTCTCAACACACACATGTGCATAATTGTCCTCAAGACAGTACCTCTTGAATGACAGCCTAACAAACGGGGAAAATTTATGGGTTAACAAAAAGAAAAAGAGGCCTAGATAGAAAAATAGATGATGAGTAAATAGCCCTAAATAAACACAAGGCCAAAGAAATTTAAACAACAGCAATATCTATTAATAAGAAACATGATTTCATCACATAATTTTAGTTGTTTCTTTAAATCTTTATTTGATCCAATTTCAGTACTTAGTATTTATCAGTTTATTTCTTGACCCAATTTTGCAAGATTGATGTTATTACATTAGTAATTTCTAAAACTAACCTTTCACACACATCAAATAAAAAATTTACTACATATTTCAGAAGCTAAAATAAAGAAACATTGAACTGGCATTATTTTAAGTTCCTCCCAGATGCATCTGCTGTATTTAAAATAGCATTTAGGATGGAATGCTTTAGCATAGAACATAGACGGCATGAATCTAACAGAATGAAGCAGGCCCAGAGAAGTTTCATAGCAATGATATTGAACCTCAAATAGTGCTTACCTATCCCAACACGAGTTCCAACAGTTAATTCGGAGAAATTAATATTCCATTCGGGGTAAGGTAGTAAAGGGTTATTGTTGAACATTCGAGATTCAAGAATTTTATTCCATGTTCTAATCATTTCATCATTTGGTAGACAGCCTGAAAGTCCACTTCTCTCTGATGTTTGGCTTCTATAAGCATGTGGAGATGATGGCAACGACACTGCTTTTTGAGAATTTATTTGATCCCTTGAAAGGTTATACAATGCGGACCTCCCACCAGCAATTTTATTGTGGCCATCAAGTTGACAATTGGATACCTAAAAGAACAAGCATAATACTTCAGTTATCTATTTTTTTTTATAAGAAGAGAAGGCCTCGTTAAAAACCCCCTTCATGATTAATGGAGCGCCAGAAGGTGCTCCTTAATCAGCGGAAGGAGGAAAAGAGTGCCTCAGAATTCATTAATAACATAAAAGATACATAAAGTTTAAAAGTAGACAAAATCACCCCCCTTACAATGAACAACCCGAAAAACAGAAAATAAACTTCCCAAGCAACATCTAATTAGCCAATTCCAGCCTTAGCTAAGCCATCAGCGTCAATATTAGCTGTCCAAGCTACCCATCGAATTACACCCTCCAAATCTTTTAACTTATAGACAATGTCCTTGACAATTGTAACATACACATCTGGACATCTATCAATATTCTTAACCCATTCCACTGCCAACTTACTATCACTTTCAATAAACTTCAGTTATCTATTAACTACATTAGGTAACTACATCCTCTCAAATGGAAAGATTTGTCAAGTTTTACCTTTGAAGGCCAAGCCAGTAAAAAGGGTTTTGCAATCAGAAAGCAAAATAAAGAATATAAAAAAAGCTAAGTGTGACTATCTGATGACAATATGCATAAAAGTCCGCACAAGATTAATTGTACAACAAATGTTTGTTTCTTTTGCAATCACATTGTACACATTGCAGTGGGACTATCTATCTGTTTGGGTGTGTGGGGGGGGGGATGCAAGAATATGAAGTGTAGAACTATGTTTTTATTCTATAATCAGTAGCAGAAAATTATAACATTAAAGGGGGAAAACATTGGCTAGAGGAAAAAGTTCTTCAATTGACCTCTTAAACATTAAAAACAGATGACTTAGTAGGGGCGGAAGGAAGAAGTCAATCTTTAATTTGCTTAAAGGGGAGAAATCTGCGGTGAAGAGATGGTCAGGAAAGAGGCATTTGGAGTTACTGGGCAGAATTTCTAGTCTTGAGAAATCAATTCAGGAAATGGAATTGGCTATGCAGCAGGGTTCTTCTACGGTGTCTATGAAATTAGTGGTTCAAGCGAAAAAATAATTATGGGATCTATATAAAAAAGAAGAACTGATCTGGTTACAAAAGTCGAAACTGAAGTGAGGATTTGAAGGTGACAGGAATTCTAGATTTTTTCATCAGTACGCTGGAATCAGAGGCAGGTTGAATGGCATTAAATATCTTAAAGTGGATAAGAAGCTGATTTCTGATCCAAGGTTGATTAAAGCTTGTGTGATGGATTTCTTTCAAAAAGTGTATAGCCAGAATACTTTTGAAGTTGAAGAAATGGACTTGGACTTTCCGAAACTCTCGGAGGTTCATAGTTCGATTTTAGAAAGATCCTTCTCGAAGGATGAGATTTGGGATGTAATAACATCCTCGGATAATAATAAAACTCCCGGACCCGATGGATTGAACTAAGGTTTCTTCAAAAAAAATTGGCCGAATTTGAAAGAAGAGATTGTGGCTTTCTTTGAAGAATTTTACAAGGAGAAGAATTGGGAGAAGGGGGTGAACCATTCTTTTATTACCCTTATTCCAAAGAAGGTCAATCCGGATTGCTTGGATGATTACCGACCTATTAGCCTTGTAGGAGGGCTTTATAAAATTCTTTCGAAGGTGTTATCAAGAAGATTGAGGTTATGTATTAATGATATTATTAGCCCTTCACAATTCACTTTTATTCCGAGGAGACAAATTATGGATTGTTCGTTTATTGCGAACGAGGGTATTAACTTTTGGAGGAAAAAAGGGTTGGAGGGAGTTGTTTTTAAGGTGGACTTTAAAAGAGCTTATGATTCTGTGGATTGGTCGATTTTGTTGAGAATCATGGAGCATATGGGATTTGGTGAGAAAAGGTGTTCTTGGATTTTCAAATGTGTCTACAACTTCCATATCAGTGTTAGTAAATGGCTCACCTATGGATGAATTTAAAATCACTAAAGGGCTGCGTCAGGGCTGTTCCTTATCCCTTTGTTTTTTAATTTGGTAGGTGAGTTATTAAACTTGTTGCTTGCTAAAGCAGTGAATGTTGGGCTGTTCAGAGGTTTTGAGTTAGGTAATCAAGTGCGTTCCTTTATGTTGTTGCATTTGCAATTTGCGGACGATCTTATAATTTTCTGCAATGCCTCATTAGGGGAATTGCATAATGTAAGAAGGGTGTTATCAATCTTTGAAATGATGGCTGGGTAGCAATTAAATTTAACAAAGAGCAGAATTTTGGGCATAAATGTAATATCCCAAATCAGGGTCAGTGACTAAATTGCAAATTTTGAAAGTTTTGTGCTCAATTTAGAAATAAATTAAAAGTCTCGAGAGTTAAGTAAAGAATTTTAATATTGGATTAAATAGCAATGATGGATGAACTAAAGGGGCAAAATGGTCTTTTCATGGGAAAGATTTTTATCTTCCCTTTTTGAGTATTATAAAACGTGGGAAATATGAGAGAGTTCCAGACTTATCTTCTTCATTCTCTTCTTTTCCACCGTGAAGCCATAAGCAAAGGTAAGATCTCTTGTTAGTTGATATTTAGCTGAATTTAGGATTTGGTTATGATTATGTGAAAGTGAACTATGTGTTATGTGAAATGATAAGTATAAAAGAAAATGCCCATGTTATGTGTCTTGAGAGCTAGGGGTATACTTGATCCCTAGTATATGTATATGATTCTTAAGGAATGATATGTGGTCCTTATGGACATTATTATATGGCACTACGGTGCAATTCTACGCGGCACTCCGATGCAATTCTACGTGACACTTCGGTGCAATTATACGAGCTGTGGTGACAGCATTAGTGCACAACCTCTATAGACTCACATATATATGGTTCTCACATGTGTACATGGGCTAATAAAGGAAATAATATAAAAGAACCTTGCATGATAGTATGTGATTGGTTTGTAATCTTTATGGTGTGAAGTGATATATGTGATATGATGATGTGTATATAGCTTGGTTAAGAGGAATTGATGCAAGAACATATGACAAAAAGATAAAGAACGAAAATAAGACTAATAAAGAGATAATAATAAATACCTTACATATGATTTACATGTTTTGTGCTATTAAACCTGTTATAAGAATATGTGAATGATGTGTGTATACAAGTGGATAGTGGTTGCATGACAGAATGTATGATTTTGTATGATATAATAAGTATAGATTATGAATGCATTAATAGTGGTTATATGTTTTTATGCCTCACTAAGTCATCGACTTAGCGTGTAAGTGTTTCACACGTAGGTTCCGGAAAGCTAGAAAAAAAGTGAAGAGGAACAAGACCGGTCAGTTACTTCTTATCGAAGATCAGATCAGAAAAGATGTCTTGAATTAGATGTATTCTGTATATTGAATATAGTTGGCATGTACTAATTGATTGAGTTAAACAAACCGCTGTGACTTTAATGAAAGTTTTAAATTTTCTCGAGTTTTTATCTTGAGTCAAAGTTTGAAAAGTCAATGTGACACCTCGGACTCGTAACCGGGTCGGGTACGGGTTGGGGGTGTTACAATAAACGTTAATCCAGAGCTCATAAAGGTGTGGGCTAATGTTATTGGTTGCTCGGTGGGTTCATTTCCGTCTGCGTATCTTGGTTTATCTCTTGGGGCTAAAAGGAATTCAATGGCTATATGGGAGTCGATTGTTCAAAGATCTAATAAAAAGCTGGCTGGTTGGAAGGCATCGTCGTTGTCCTTAGCCGGAAGGGTGGTATTGGTGAAATCAGTGTTGAGTGCTCTCCCTATCTACTTCCTCTCTATATTCTGATTACCGATATGTGTATTGAATGAGGAATGTTCTATATTCAAAGATCTATATGCTGAGTAATTTTCTAATGTCGCCTTTGGCGGAGGACTGTTAGGTTTGGACAGGGAATGGGGAGGACTGTTTTTCAGCCAAGTCGTGTATTAAGAATTTTTTGTTACATCGGCCGCTAATCCAATTTGGGTTAGAAACGTTTGGTTAGGTGTAGTCCCGCCTCGAGTGGAAACTTTCGTCTGGCTGGTTGTTCATCAAAGATTAGAGGTAAAAGAGGAGTTGTTGAAGCGTGGAGTTGCAAGGATCGCGGATTCACTTTGTCCGTTGTGTGGTAGGTTCTCGGAGTTTGTTTCTCACTTATTTGTCCATTGTGATGTAGTTTGGGGATTATGGTATAGATTTTTGCACCTTTGGAACGTCTCCCTTGTTGTTTCGGAGAGTCCGACTGCTTTGATCTCTATTTGGGCAGATCTAGTTTCGCGCTCGACGATTTGGACTTTCATTCCAGGGGCGGTAATGTGGTCGGTTTGGAAGTGTAGGAATGAGATTATTTTTAGAAAGTTGGACTCAACGCTGTTATTTTTTCTTGTAAGATATAGGATTGCAACATGGTTTGTAGCTAGATTTTCGGATTTGGTAATTCCTTTTGACTCTTTAGTGGGCGATCCAAAAGTAGTTGATTTTGCTGTGAATTCTAAGAGGGTCAATTTTACCTAGGTGCGTTGGGTTCCTCCTCCTTCGGGCTTCTTCAAAGTCAACATGGATGGTGCTATGGTTAAGGGGTGGTCAAGAGGAGGTATTGATGGTTTGCTTAGGGACAGTGAACGTGTGCTGCTGTGTTCATTATCAGAGAATGTTGGTCTTATCTTTGCTGAATTATTGTTGTGTTCATTATCAGAGAATGTTGGTCCTATCTTTGCTGAATTATTGCCTATTAAAAGGGGTCTGCTCTTATTTGAGGAGACCATCTTTATTCAAGGGGGAGGCTTAGAATCGGATTGTTCTACTGCTTTGGAGTGAATCAAAAATCTGGGTTGCTGCACTCCGTTGTTCGAGTCATTGGTAATGATGTTGTTGTTGTGGTAGAACAAGATGTTATTGTTAGGCATATTTTGAGATCCGCCAATTGGGAGGCGAGTGGGTTGGCTAAAGTAAGAATTGGGTGATTCCGATGTTTTCAGGGTTGGGTAATTTTGTTAGGTTTTGGGTGTTGCTGGTTGTTTAAGTGTGGTTTTGTATGTTTGGTCAGTTTTGGGTTGAGGTGTATTTTGATTGATTTGTTTGTATGGTACTTAGTATTATATAAATAAAATGTTGAGGCACTTTTTTCCTCCTTCCAATGTCCGTTAAGCTACTTCCGTAGCTTGAAGGTTATGAAGGGGGTTTTTAACGAGACCTCTTATTTTTATCAAAAAAAAAAAAGCAAACATAAAACAGAGGGCATCGGAATGGAAAATCTTTGATTCTAACAGAAAAAAAGACAACTTCATTCTCTCCTTAACGAAGGCAATACTCACGTACAAAGTAATTTCCTAATATAAATACCAGCAAAGGTAACCACACAAACGTCAAAAGTTTCCTATGACTCGTTAGTCCTAAACTGAATTCAGGTTCTCAGATATATAACCAATTTCACTTTTATAATAGTTAAATGTAATTCTATAATTCACAACAACCATAGAGGAGTTCAAGGCATTGAGGATGGTTTATGTCCTCTTTGTAAAATGGTTGAGGAGTCTTCATCGCATTTATTTTTTACTTGTTCGGTACTGGTCCTTATGGAACAAATTTTTGAAATTTTGGAGGTTTAGTTTTGTTTTTCATGCAGATGCAAAAAATTCTCCTAGCTTGGGATGAGTTGAAGACAAATTCTGCTATATGGGCATTCATTCCTGAGGTTGTTATTTGGACCATTTGGGAAGTTAGAAATTATATTGTTTTTGAAGGGGGGAAGCTTGACCAAACAGAATTATTCTTCTTAGCAAGATTTAGGCTTGCTTCTTGGTTCTTAGCTAAGCATAAGGATATTTCTATTCCTAAGGACTTTTTAATTTCTGATCCTTCAATAGGGGATTCTTACTCGTCCTACAATATCCTGAAGTCATCTATAATCCCTTGGTCACCTCCTCCTATAGGCTTCATCAAATTGAATGTGGATGCTGCCACTAGCAGTGATTGGAAGAAAAGTGGTCTTGGAGGTGTTTTAAGGGATCATTCAGGTGTAGATTTAGGATCTTTTCAGGAGTCTACTGGTTCGGGACCTCCGACATTGATGGAACTTAAAGCTATTCAAAGGGGTTTTTCTTTCTTCGCCTCTTTTCAAGAGATGGTTAAAGATCGGCTGATTATTGAGAGTGATAGCAGGGTAGCAGTAGACTGGATTAACAATGTTGATTCATGCCCAGTTGTGTATGCTTTTATTGTTAGAGATATAGTGGATAATCTTAGAATTTTTGAGGGGGTTGTTAGATGGGTTACAAGAACAGCAAATATAGACACTGATGCTTTAGCAAAGGCTGGTATAGGCTGACTTTTATGTTGTTTGCAGTTTTCGGTTGGTTTTCTGGTTCCAGTACGGGTGGGGTTTGTTGCTTATTGTAAGGGATTTTTGGCTTAGATTTATCTAGGTTGTAATTCTAATTTTGTTTAATGAAGTTCTAAGGCACTCTTTTCCTCCTTCCGCTGATTAAGGAGCTTCTATACAAGCTCCATTAATCAAGAAGGGTGTTTTTAATGAGGCCTTTAAATCTTATAAAAAAAAATCATAGAAGAAAACAGGGGCAAATGCTATGAAGCAACAGATGCAACAATCCCAAAGTATATTCATTCAAAATTGCAATACCAGAGTAATTTATACCAGCAAAGGTAGCCACACAAATCTCAGAAGTTTCCTAAGACTCGTTTCTCAAACTGATTTCAGGACTCAGGTCTTCAGATATATAATCAATTTCATTTTTATAGTAGTTACAATGTAATTCTAGAAATCAAAACAATCATAGAAGAAAATAGTGGCAGATACTATAAAGCAACGGATACAACAATCTCAAAGTATATTTATTCAAAATTGCAAAACTATCAGTTGTCTCGTATTATGCCCATTCACCCCAAATATCCTGAATCATTGACAGTCAAGTAAAAAAAATATATTTGTGTATAAGCAAAAAGGTAAAGACGTGTTTGCCAACATGAAGGGCTAGAAATAAAGACTTGCTAAGGTGCTGCACATTCTACCAAGAGAAAGTTAAATTTTTTTAGTTAACTAAAAACATACATTTTTCTGAAGATCAGGACTGTCATTCCTATCGGTTGAAGAATGGGAAAAAGACCTATCTTCCCTGTGCTCTTGCAAAAGACGATTTTGCTTCAATGTTTCATTCATAGCTCTGACAGCCCTGAAACAGTTCAGACATGATCCAACTTAAATCACCATTCAACAGAATGTAAGCCCCACATGCAGAAAAAACCCAGAAAGTTTTGAACACACACATTGATATCTAATGTTCAGGTAACACTTGGGACAAGCATATAAATATAGGCAAGATTTGGTTCAAGTGATCCAAATATACTAGTGGACCGAAATCTGAGATTCTAAGATGTACTGCTAGACAACTTCATTTTAACCACTAATGTTATGTTTGGTTACATAAGTATTAACACAAGGAAAAGCTTAATTATTACATGAGTTTTTAAAATAGCTTGTGAGCAAAAACTCAAGTAAAAATAATACTTATTCAAGATAAGTATTATTTATTCCTTCGCTTTGTTCAAACTTAGTCATGCGATTGGCTAAAAATTACCTAGTAAAGTTAGGTTATTGCAAACACATGTGCTAAAACATGAGGAAAAAATAGAATACCTACCAAACGTAGCATAAATGTTTAGTTCAAGATCCAAATTAAAATGAGAAAAAGTAAGAAGCCAAAAAGTTTGGAGGAAAAAAAAACTAGATCTTTTCCATCCATTAGACAAAGTTCAAAGAGAAGATATTAGATGATGTAACCACAAAATTAATATCTTCTATATAAAGAAAGATAATGGAGAAAAAGACGTAAGATTAGAGCCCATCCATTTTTCCTTAATAAATAAAACCATATTAGGCTAATAATAAAATTTAGAAATCCTTGTTTCCAATATTCTATACAATAGTCAAAAACACTTTTTCCGACATTTCGACTACATTGGGAAACCCTTGTTCATTTCTTCAAAGTTCATATTAATTATATTTAGAATGTAAAGTGAAAAAGAAAATGAAAGCATTTCTGGAACCAAAAAGGCACCAAGGTTCAATAGCATCGAACATGAGAGCAAATAGAGCAAGAACTTTATGGCATCAAATCTACTGAACATTTGGAAAAAAATCAAAAGTTGGGGAACTTTTATTAGCATTCAAAATAAAAATGCTAGCAAGAGAATCTTAAGCAAATTAAACTAGTAAATCAATATGCCTAAGATTAAACAATAGCTCCAGCTGGAGAAAGAAAATTTGTGCAAATTAGATGCCAGTCAAAGCAGATTGGATACATTAGATTTAATACTAGGTAGACCTTAAATAAAGAGAAAACCGAGTAACTTGCCTACCAATTATTTCTCCATTTTGGAGAAGGAAAAAAAAGATGGCTTACATTTTAAGATCTATCACAAAACCATCTCCTACAATTGTAAACATAAAGGTTCGTGCTCCCACTGACAAAACAGCTGAATATCCACATTATTTTCTACCCTCCCCATCCCTTTTTCATTTTTTGTTTTTGGATGATAGATATTTGTCCAAGCGATGTGAGCATCACCAATGATATGATCTAGAAACATGCTTGACTACGAGGCCACATTTAGAACCACAATACTCTATCATGTGTACATCATTTTGTCAGGGTTGCTCTCTTTCCCCGCTCCTTTACAATTTGGTTGCCGAACTGTTGAGCTTGATGTTGTCGAAAGCTGTGAGGTTAGGCTTGTTTAGAGGGTTTGAGATTGGGAGTCCGGGAGATTCTTTTCAGCTCTCCCATCTTCAATTCGCAGATGATTTGTTAATTTTTTGTAATGCGTCTATTGGGGAATTGAAAAATGTGAGAAGGGTGCTTCTGATTTTTGAGTTGATGTCAGGGTTGAAGATTAATCTTTCAAAGAGCAGGTTATTCGGTATCAACGTGAATGACGGGATTATTTCTGAGTGGGCTGCTGCAATAGGGTGCACAGTGGGTTCTTTCCCAACGGACTACTTGGGGCTTCCTCTTGGGCCGAAGAAAAACTCAGTTTCTCTATGGGATCCGATTATTCAAAAGTTCTACAAAAAATTGACCGGGTGGAAGTCTACCTTCCTATCCAACGCTGGTAGAGTGGTGTTGATTAAGTCGGTCCTTTGCTCCTTACCAAAATACTTCATGTCGATTTTTAGATTACTAAGGTGTGTTTCAAAGAGGCTCAACTCAATTATGACAAGTTTTCTTTAAGTGAAGTCGAGTGTTAAAAACAAAATTCATTGGGTTAATTGGGAGATTGCTTGCAAGCCTAAGGCGTTGGGAGGGATTGGGGTTCCAAATCTTGAGCTTATGAATAGAGCTTTATTAGGAAAGTGGACCTGGAAGTTTGCCGATGAGAAAAACTCCTGATGGAAAAGGATATTTTGTTGCAAAAACATTATTGATCCGAATACTATGGGGGTGGATAGTTCGGCCTATTACAAAGCTTCTTGGATATGGAAAGGGGTTGTGAAGAATTGTTGTTCAGATGACGAGTTTGGGGAGTGTTTGCGAAGTAACTTTCTGCTGAAGGCGGGCAATGGGGACTCAATAAGATTCTGGCATGACGCTTGGCTGGACGGAGTTTCATTGAGGGTACGTTTTCCTCACTTGTTCACATTATCAATCAACAAGGAGGGGAAGATCACCGATTTCAGGAAAATTAATTCGTCACGCTGTTTTTAGGATATTGGCATGAAGAGGGGTGGATAGTTCGGCCTATTACAAAGCTTCTTGGATATGGAAAGGGGTTTGTGAAGAATTGTTGTTCAGATGAAGAGTTTGGGGAGTGTTTGCGAAGTAACTTTCTGCTGAAGGGGCAATGGGGACTCAATAAGATTCTGGCATGACGCTTGGCTGGACGGAGTTTCATTGGGTACGTTTTCCTCACTTGTTCACATTATCAATCAACAAGGAGGGGAAGATCACCGATTTCAGGAAAATTAATTCGTCACGCTGTTTTTAGGATATTGGCATGAAGAGAAATCTTGCCGATTGGGAGTTGATGCAATGGAATGAGTTTATGACATTGTTGTATAATTAAAATCCTTCGTCATCGATGGATGATAGTCTTGTATGGGCGGGAGAAGGTGATGGGAGGTTTTCAGTGAAATCTTGTCATGAAATTTTTCTTGGAAGCTCGGTCAATAGTTTTCCGTGGGAAAGAAATGTCTGGGCCGGTGTAGCTCCTACTAGGGTTGAATATTTTATTTGGCAAGTGGTGCACAAGAAGGTTGCAATCAAGGTAGAGCTAATAAAACGTGGGGTGCAAGGTATAGGAGATCTTTATTGTCCGTTTGTGGGTTGGTTCAAGAAACGGTTTCTCACCTATTCTTTTCTTGCTAAGTGCCTTGGGGGTTATAGACTAGCTTTTTACGCCAGTGGGAGGTTTCCTTTGCAATTTTGGAGTGCCCTGTAGCCTTATTTTCAGTTGGGTTTGATCTTGTGCCACGCTCATGCGTTTGGGCTTTCATCCCAAGAGCTGTTTTGTGGTCAATTTGAAAAATGAGGAATGTTATTATTTTTAATAATGGGAAATTAGATTGCGCTTTGTTATCTTTTCTCTCAAGGTAGAGAGTGGCATCATGGTTTTCTTCAAAATTTCCTAAATTGATGGTCTCTTTCAATAGTCTTGTGGGAGATCTGGTGCTAGCTGATCGTGTTATATTCGATAAAAAAATATCTCAAAAGGTAGCTAGTTGGTCTCCACCTCCTACTGGTTTTGTTAAAGTGAATGTAGATGGTGCTATGGACAGGTGGTGGTCGAAGAGAGGCATTGGCGGGCTTATCAGAGATGAGAAAGGATTGATGTTGGGTTCGTTCTCATAAAAAGTGGGATCCGATCATCCTATTATGGAAGAATTGATGGCAGTGAGGAGAGGTTTGAATTTGTTCCTGGATTCGGGTTTGTCGGTGAATCGAAAGCTTATTTTGGAGTCCGATAGTGTGGTGGCAGTGGAGTGGATAAAAAATACAGCTAGCTCCACTCCAATGTTTCTATCCATTGTTAAAGATATTGTGGTCAATTAATTGGGTTGTTGTTGTTCTATCCTAAATAAAGATTTTCGACTTTTGCTTTTGAGCGAGAATCAGGTTTAAAGAGAGCGATAGATATATTAAATTGATAGATGGGAGAAGGATTTCAGTTGGAATTGCAAAATACAATGATGTTTGTCCAAGGATAGCAGGGAAGGTCAGTCCAGTTATTCTGGCCCCAGTCTTGAGTGCAGCAGGACCTTCAAAGTTGAAAGCGACAGATTTTACCAGCAGGAATATTAGGGATGAAAGATCGTATAAAGCAGCTTTATTGTCTGTTAGTTTGAGAAATAATGCGTTGGGATATTCGGAGCTTCATTCTGAAGGGAGTCACAGGGAAAAAGTAATGAAGAATGTTCTGGAAATGCATATTCTGTCTGAGAGCTCGAGTTGGGTCAAAAGTTCTTTAATGGGGATTGTTAAGCTTTCCTTGGATTTTAACTCAGTTAAGGAGTTCTTTGATGATGAAGGTTATGAAGTTCAGATTGTTGGCTGGGGATATGCCAGGAATTCCTGCGTTATCTCTTTCAAATCCTACGAAGATATGATGGAAGCTTGGACAAAGAAGAAAGATGTGCTAAACTTGTGGTTTGAAAGATGTAATATAAAGAGAGAATGTGCGCGCTAGGAAGAGAGAGAATTAGAGAAAATTCGAAAAAATCCATTTCTTCTGTGGGAATGGATTGTGTTCATTGATAATCTTAGCAAAAGGGTCTCTAGACTGTGTTAAGGATTTTTTTAGTCCTTGAGGTCAGATTCTAAAAATTTTCATTCCAAGATTTTTAGATAATCTTAAGTCCTCGACGTTTGCTTTTGTCCAATTTGCTGAGGAGGAAAGTAGGAAGAAAGCAATCCAGTTTGTGAATGGGAAGTGGTTTGATGGGAAGAGAATTTTTGTTGGAGTTGCTATGTATCAGAAGGATAAGAGGAGGGAAGAGGATAAGGGGAAGAATGGTGGAGATCAGTCAGGGGAAGGATATTTCAAATACTGGAAGGCAGTTTGAGTCGGGTAGAGGTATGAGAGACGACAGATCATATAAGGATGTAGTAATTTCTGAATGTAACTTGGAGGTGTTAAGAAGAATGCTCCTGCTGTGAGGAACATTTGGGGATGCATT